GCCATCGCCTCCATCAGCACCTCGCTGTCCCACAGCCAGGCCTTCTCCCCATACGGTTTTTTCTCCCCGGAGAAGAGGAAAGCCATCTCGGATGTGAGGAGAACCTTCTGCCTCTTCGTCACCTTCGACCTGCTCTTCATCTCCTTGCTCTGGATCATCGAACTCAACGTAAGTGGGGGGGCAAAAAAAAAAAACAAAAAAACACGCCCGGAGCTTTTCCTCTCCTCCCGTGCAGCCAGATCCTCACGGCTCCCTCTCCCAAAGCCTCTCCCCGAGGTTTTTTAAGCTGCAGCCCGGCTCGGTTCCTGCACCCGAGCCCTGTTTTGGCTGCCCAGGGTCGTTAAAACCATCCTGGGGCGGGTTTTGTGCTGCCCTGTAACAGATCCGTTGTCCTATAACAGATCCGGGGCCGAATTTCTCCCCTGCTCCCCTCCTTCGCCAAGCAGCTGCCGGCTCCCGACTCCTCTTGCTCTGCCCTGCAGGGGTGACGAGGAGGAGGAGGAGGGGGGGGTTGCAAACCTTCCTCTCCCCGCCCAGCTGCTGGGCACGGACAAAAAGAGCTTTGAACTTTGGTCCCTGCCGCTAATCTCAGCCTGGGGACGCCCGAGGTGCTGCCCTCCTGCCTCAAAGGCGCCGCCGGGGTTTTGTCCTCCCGCCGTGGCTCGCCCGCTTGATTCCCAGTTGATTTTTTTCCTTCCAGCCCCTGCAGCTCAAAGTCGCTCCCGGGGCCGTGCTTTTTTTTTTTTTTTCCTCTCCCGACCAGTCCCGACCAGTTGGGGCCGCACGGGGCTCTGGGTTTCGGGTTGCAGGCGCTGCGTGTCCTGCGAGATGAAGAGATAGACCCCGCTGCTCCCCGTGCCTGGCCTGCCTTTATCAGCTCCGTGTCCTGTGCTCATTTAGCGACCCTTATCTCTCTCCTTCTTATCTCCTGTGGTGTCTGCACCTAACAGATCGCTCCGGCCAGCGGCTCCCTCACCCCGTGGCCGCGGTGCTGAGCCCGCAGGGACCCCCGTGGTGTAGGAACAGCAGCTCGGGGCCGGCATTCCTGCCGTGCCGACGGTGCCCAGCACCCCCTGGCGCGGACCCCAGCCCTCCTGCTGCTGTCCCCGGGGCTGTAGGAGCGACGCTGGCCCCAAAATCCAACCCTGCAGCCCCGGGGAAATGCTCTGGCAGCGCGGTCGTCAGGGTGATGCTGAGCGTAGGTCTCGCAGGTAGCCATTAATGAGTGACTAACTGGTGATATTTGGGCCCCGAGCCGAGATGCTGCATATTTAAGGCTATTAGGAGGGCTGATTTGCCTAGTTATGAAGAGCAATGGGTTTATATCGTGACTAATGCTTTTTTTATCAAATGGTTTCCTTCGCTGCGAGATAAGCTGAGCAAATTGGCCCTCGTTAAATGTCTGCCTCCTGCAAACGGTGCTCTGCGAGCTCGCTGAGACAAAGAGGTGCCGCAAAACAATTCTCCTCGCTGGCTCAGGGCAGCGGCGTGCGTTTAATCCTAAAACACCTCTCAGAAACCGTGACCCGAAGCCTTTGCTGGGCCCTTTTTTTTCCTCCTGGGAGGAGGTTTTCAGCAGCAGCTCAGCGAAGCTGCCTGGCACGAGCCCTGTGGCCCCCCAGCAGCTGAAGCAGCCCCCCCCCCAGCCCCCAAATCTTAAGCACCAGCCTGACCTAGAGGGACCACTTCCCGCCGGCTGCCTCGTCTGTCCTTGGACTGTCTGACAAGAGGGTGCCAGGGCTCCAGGCTGCCAAGAACTGGCCTGAGATCCACCAACTTGTTTCTCGCAGATCATCAAACAGCTGTCAGCGTGCACCGGCGTCCCGGCCAGCTGGGCTGCGTTCAAACCAATAGCCTAAAGGTGAAGCATTTGTTCCAGTTACCTGAGCCATCCGCTTCCTCGTAAACAGCCAGGCCAAGCTCCTGAGAGCAGGATTTATGGTGGCAGAAGCACCGAGGCTGGCGAGCCCCAGATTGTCTCGGGGTGAGGCAAGAGAGCTCTTCTCTGAGCTTTTTTCCACGCCCGGGTTCGATCCCAGCGGCCGTGGCTTGGCCTCTTTCAGATTTCCTCGTGCTTCTGTGCACCCGTGGCCCTCTCCTCCTGCTTCCCCCCGGCCCACGGGCTGGCCTGGGGGAACACCGAGGGGTTTTTTTTGCACAAAGAGGACGATCTGAGCTGAAATCCCACCTCGCAGGAGGGGTGCTGTGAGGGATGCTTTGGGCGTCTGGCTGTGGCTGATGGTGCTGAGCGCGTCCTGGAGCCGTTCACTTGCTCGGGGTTTCCCTTTGTAGAAAGCTCCCCCCGCCTCAGAAATATTTCATGTCGCCGTGAGCTGCTCCAGCCCTGGCTCCCCTCAGCGTGAAGCAGAGGCTGAAACGTGCAGCATCCCCCCGTGGCCCCCTGCCTGCTGCACAACCCGACCCGGTGCTAACCTCGGGGCACCTCTCGGCCGCCTTCTTCCTATCAGCATTTCCTTATCAGTGCACTCGAGAGCTGTCTCGTTTCCTCTCTCCTCTCCAGACCAAGGATGGCATTGAGAAGAACTTGGAGAGCGAAATCTTCGAGTACAATTTTAAGACCTCTTTCTTCGATATATTTGTGAGTGTCCCGGGGATAGCTCGGGGTGGGGCTGGGGTCTCCCAGCCCGTCCCGTTGCACCTCTGGCCCCATCTTGGGTGGAGAGGCCCTCGGGGGGGCTGCCTGGGGGCTGCGTCCTCCCAGTGCCTGGCACGGGGACGAGGACGCTGGGCCACTGACTCGTCCTGATGGCGTTTTCTTTTAAAAGGTCTTGGCTTTCTTCCGATTTTTTGTGCTGCTGCTGGCCTACGCGGTCGTAAGGCTGCGCCACTGGTGGGTCATAGCGGTAAGAAGGCAGTTCCTGCTTTCCTGTTTTTAGTTTGTGCTCTCTGCCCGGGCCTTGCAGGGATCTGAGGTGCGTGATTTTATTTTCCAGGTCACGACGTTGGTCTCCAGTGCCTTCCTGATTGTGAAGGTCATCCTCTCCGAGGTTGGTTGGCTTCCTCGGGCTCACGGGGGGATTGCTTTGTGATTGCTGGCTGCTGCTGTTGGCCGTTTTGTGTGAACTCCCTGTGGCTTTTGCTTTCTTCCACTCAGCTTCTGACCAAAGGGGCGTTCGGCTATTTGCTTCCTATCGTCTCGTTCGTCATTGCTTGGCTAGAGACCTGGTTCCTGGATTTTAAGGTCCTAACTCAGGAGGCGGAAGAGGAACGATGTGAGTATTTTGCTCTTCTCTGGTAGGAGCTGGCAGATCAGGCTACCAGGCCTGGGGTTTCTGCTGCTTTGGCAGCACCTTGAAAGATAGGACGTTCGTGGAGAAGTGATCTCCAGGCTGGCTGTGACGGTAAGTGCCTGACTCAGTTCTGTGATGGTATACAAGCCCCTTCAGGGGAAGAAAATACCAGATTATAAAAAGCATCTTTTAATTGAGAGGAGAAAAACATGCCAAATTCCCCAATGTCTGGGTACCGAAGCCAGACGTATTGGAAACAGAGCTCACCTCCGCAGCAGTGAAAATGTTTTGAAACAGTGGGACAAATGCCAGGCGGACTGGGGGACTCTCCAGCTCCTGGTATCTGTCTGCAGATCTGGGCTGGAGACCTTCGGGGAGGAATGCTTCCCTGGGAGATACGTTACAGGGGTGTGGGAAATGTGACGGCCTCCAGTCGCTGAGGTCAGACTAAACTGAGACCCAGCTTTTCTGACCTAATGCCGTACGAATTCCCGTGCGCGGCGGGGCACCTGTCACTTCCAAGGGTGCTTGGAACCGAGCGGGTGCTGGGTTTGGGGTGGTGCAGCTGCCCTCGTACAGCCAAGGAGCTCGTCCTTCTCCCAGGCTTCTCTGATGAAAGAGGACCGGGAAGTGGCACGGCAAACGAAGAAGTATTTGTCGAGCGAGGCTGGGTCAGAAATGCACCCAGTGACTGGAAAACACCAGAGGATGTTTGGGTCTTGCGAGGAGGCTTTAAGATGAAAAATGATCAAGTGTTTAATGCCTCTATTGGATTAGGCTCGGGTTCCAAATTGCTTCCAGGGGAAGCTCTTATTTAATTAGATGCTTAATCGCCTTTGGATTTGACAGGCAAAAGAGCCCATTGATCTCCATGCAGATAAAATGTCTCCAACAAAAGATGAGGCAATAGGAGCTGAAAGGCTCGTGGGCTGGCTGGTGGCAGCGCGAGCCGAGCAGCTGTGGCTGGCAGAAAGTGGCTGGGAGGCCATCCGGGGAGGGCTGGGCTGGTGGCAGGGGGGGGACACGGGGCCCCCAACCCAGCCCCTTTGGGGCTGAAGCACGGGGCAGGGTGTGTGAGACCCCCTCTGCTCCCCAGGGTACCTGGCAGCCCAGGCTGCGGCCGCACGCGGGCCCCTGCTCTACCCCGGAGCCCTTTCGGACGGGCAGTTCTACTCCCCACCGGAGTCCTTCGCAGGTAACGTGTGCTCCTCAGCCCCTCTCCCCTCCTTTTCTCCCCTTCTCCTCTCCTCCTCTCCCAGCTCTGCCTCCTTAGCCCGGCCCTTGGCAGCGCCTCCGAGAGCTGACGCTGCAAATCCAGCCCCTTCTTCTTGCCCTGTGCCCGGGCAGTGCAGCCACGGCCCCGTTGTCTCGGTGCCATCAGTGGCAGGGGGTGGTGCTCAGCCCCACGTGCCTGGCTTCGGCCCCGTGGGAAGCCAGAGAGTTTTGTGGGCTTGGGATTTAATGCTCGTAAGCCACGCTCGAAAAACATCGCCCTTGGGATGAGAGCGTGGGGACAAATCGCCACCAGGAGGTGAGGGGGCAGAGATGACAGGGTGCCACTGCCCTGTGCCACTTCCCCGTGCCTCTGCCCACTGCCCTGTGCCACTGTCACTGCCCTGAGACCCCCCCAGCTCGGCAGGCTGTCTGCTGGAGCTGTTGTCCCGGTGTTGTTGACACCCATTTTGGGAGCAGAGCCACCCCTGGGTGGGGGGCAGGCCCCGGGCTGTGCTGACAGCGGGGATCGGAGGCTGTGTGCTCCACGGGAAGGTCAGGGGGAGGTTGCCCACGTGGCATCTTCGTTAGCTGTGTGTTAATTGCATGCTTCCTCCTAGGGTCGGACAACGAGTCGGACGAGGAAGGTCTGGGGAGGAAGGCGTTGACAGCACAGGTAACTCGAGCTGGACGTTCCTGTCCCTCCTTTCACAGCCTTTTCTCTGGGGGTGTGATTTTGGCTCTGCCTCTCCCTCTCCCCCCTGGTCACACCCCAAGAGGGCATCGCCTTGGCCATCCTCGCCAAGATCTAGCTTATAGGGTGGTCCTGCAGCTCCCTGAGCTCTGCCTGGGCACCAGCCCCTGGGTGCTGCCTTCCCAGAGGTGCTGCTGCTGCTCAGCTCCCGCAGGAGGAAGCTCTGAGCACCTCGCAGCCCTCGGCCTGCTGGAAGCCCTCGTGCTGAGGCAGGAGGCTCGCTGGTAGGCACAGCTGGCGTGTGGATGCAAGCCAGGGCGGGGAGCGTGACTTCGAGCTCCAAAACGAGGCCTCAGTGACCCAAAAGAAGAGATTTCTGTCGTGTGGTGGTGGGAGGCTGCCCGCTTCCCCCTGCTAAGCCCCGGGGGGTGGGTAGCCAGCCTTGCACGCACACTTTGGGCTCTCTGCATGCCCCACGAGTGAAAATATTCCCTTCTCTCCTAGGAGAAAGAATACGTCCGGCAAGGCAAAGAGGCGATGGAGGTTGTGGACCAAATCCTGGCGCAGGAGGAGAACTGGAAGTTCGAGAAAAACAATGCAAGTGTCCCCCCCCCCCGCCCCGCTGCCCCGCAGCAAGCACGGCTGGCTTAGCAAAAAGCAGAGGACAAACGAGGCTTCTGAAACCTCCTTGCGACACGAAAAATTAACAAGCGTTACAATTACCTGATTGAATTAGGAATCTATTCCAGTTCAGTTAAATGTAAAATCCCCTCTTATTTAATTAGACGTTTAATTGCCTTCCCGTTTGACAGGAGAAGAGAGCCCGTCACTCCTCCCTCTCGGCGGCGGGCGGGCAGGGGCGGACAACTCACCTTTGGTAGGCAGGAGGAGCAGAAGTGTGCCGTGCTGTGCCCAGGGTCCTGGCACTGCTGGTTTTGCTTTTTCTGGTGTTTTTAGGAGCGTGCTGGAGTCTGGGAAGGCTCCGGATGAGATGAGGTTGCCGTGAGCCAAGAGGGAGCAGGAGCATGTGGGGTGCAGGCTGCTCCTGCTGGCCCACCCCGAGGCCGTGTGCCTGTCCCCTGCCCCAGGACAGGGACCTTGGGGGAGGCAGAGGGTAAAGCAGGGAGCCCTGCCCGTTTCCCCACCTCACAGGTTTATTCCCTGAGCTACAGCAGGGTTTGCTGGGGTACCTAGAGCTCCTTGCTCTGCCCAAAGCGTGGTGTGGAAGGTGCCCTGTCTCTGCCCCCCTAAAACCAACCCCGCTTTCTGCTTGTGGGCTCCTGCCATGGCTGGGGTGAGAGTCCTGCAAACTGCAGTCTCATCTGGTGTTTAAAATTCCCCTGTCAAGTGATCCATTGTTTGATGCCAAACTAGCTGGGCAGATTGTTTTCTTTATCCAAAGGGGGATGGATTTAAATAGACTAATCAGAGTTTAACACAGGGCTAATGATGAAAGGTTATCATCTGTCCATCCCTAACCCCTCCAGGGAGTCTCTTCTCAGATGTAGGTAACAACAGCAGTGCTGGCAAACTCACCCCTTTCTCTTGCACTGGTGCTGGTAGCTTGCTACAAAGAGAATTTGACCTTGAAACGGAGTTTGCAGCCTGGCACGGGCTGGATTCTTTTTCTGTCTCATCACTGCTGCCTCTCTGGGCATTGTTTTGTTTATGGAAATTTGTGCACGGGCATCTGAGATGTGCTGGGTGTTGTTCCTGCCGTGGGGCTGGCTGCCTGGCCTGGGGAAACGGGCACAGTTTGGGGTCAGGGATGGTCCCGTGTGGCACGGGAGCGGGCTGGATCCTGCTGCTGCAGCACAGTGCTCAGAGACCAGCAGGCTTTAGCTCAGGTAGAAACAGTTAATTTTATTTTGCCAGCAGCAATGTAACTTCCTTGTTTCTTGCGCAGGACTTCGGTGACGTTGTTTACACTTTTGAAATACCTTTCCACGGCAAGACCTTTATTTTAAAGGTAAGAACCTTCCCGTGTCGCTTCCTCAGCCTGTGTGGCACAGGCAAAAAGCCTGCTCGGCTTGGCATCACAGCTCAGCTTTCACGCTCCCTCCTGGCCCTGGCAGGACAGGTCAGGCTGCAGAGCACTCTTTGAGACAGATGAACTGCTCTGCGCGCTCTAGGGAATCTCTCCAGGAAAACCCCTTGGCTGGCAGACAAACTCCCCGGCAAATATGCTGGGCCCCAGTCTCCGCTGGTAGAAGTGGGAGCAGGTGACTGCGAGACTCGCTTCCAACCCCAGCATCTAGGACTAATCTGACCAAGGAGGCTAATTGCAACTAATTGCCAGCAAGACCAGGGCTGAGCGTGCGTCTGCTGCTGCCTGGCATCGAGCAGAGCCGCGCGGAAGTGCCGTGCTCCATGCCCTCTCGCTGGAGTGGCTTGGCTGTAAACCACGCTTTAATGAAGCATCGGTGCTGCGGTGGCTTTTCTTTGTTCCAGTGCATATGTTGCCTTCCTGGCAGGAGCCGCCGGCCGAGCGGCTCTGTGTGCACGAGGAAAAGCTGCACGGGCTCTGCGGCACTCACCATTTGCCTCTGAAGATCCCACAGGGACGCGGGGAAATGACTGTTGTCCGTGCTAGAGCTCGGAGCAGCTTTTTGGGGACTTTTGGATGCGATCGCACCTGCAGCAGAATCGCTGCTGAGGCAGGGTGAGGGTGGAGGAGCCGGCCCGGGTCAGCCCCGAGGTCCGTCCGTGGCACAGACAGATCTTTGCCCTCCCGCAGACCCCAGCAGGCAGCAGCTCAGCGACTGCAGTTCCCCGGGGTCTGCTCCATGCTCTGTCTCCTCGTGTGCCCTGCAGGCCCCTGGGAACGAGAGCGCTGCGGCAGCGGGGTCACAGCCTCAGCTCTGCCCTGCTGCTCGGTCCCTGTTGTTCTTTGTGATCTGCCCCGTGTTCCTCAGAAATCATCTTACCCGGGGGTAGCAGGGGACTGGCTAACTGCTCTGGCTCCGTGTCCTCAGGCTTTCCTGCAGTGCTCTGCTGAAACGGTTTACCAGGAGGTTATTCTCCAGCCCGAGAAGATGATCCTGTGGAACAGAACAGTGGCAGCTTGCCAGGTGAGCGTGCCGGACAAAGATGGCTTAATCACAGGAGCTCCTTGGAGCGGAGAGCTGGAGCTTCCCAGCCCCGCACCGGCTGTCAGCGCTGCCCAGGCCCTACTGGAGCTTAGCTGGATCAGAGTCGCTGAGGCGTTAAATCTCCGCCGCTCATCCAGACGATCCGAATGCTCTGCGGCAGCCAGCTGCGTGGCGCTGCCCGTCCAAAAGCCCACGAGGTGGGCAGGGAGCTGGGCCAGCGGCCGAGCCAAGCCGGCTTCTGCTCGCCACGGCTGGGGCCGGCGTGGCGGTGATCCGAAGGCAACGCCTGTGCCCCCCCAAAGGGGCAGAGGGGCAGCCCCGGGCCAGCAGAGAAACCTCTGCGTGCGCTGCCAACCAGCTCGGCCCCAGCCCCGACCCTCCCATCAGCTGCCAAAGGCTCTGGCTTCGAGTCCCGGTGCTGTTCTGAGGAGGGGCCGCATTGCCCAGCTGTTGGCACCTGCAGGCACAATCTGAGGAAATCCTTTTTTTTTTTTTTTCTTTTCTCTTCCAGATCTTGCAGCGGGTTGAAGACAACACGATCGTTTCGTACGACGTAGCAGCTGGGGCCGCAGGGCGGTGTCGTTTCCCCCAGGTCAGTTTGTCCTGCTGTCTGCGCTGTGCTTAAGCCCACCCCCCCCCAAACACCTTCCTGAGATACAGAGGGAAGCTTCCGACCGCGGCGAGAGCGCTCGGCTCCAGCCCTGCCGTTGTGTGCTGGCTGGGAGCTCCTTGGCATCCCCAGAGCAGGGCTGGGTTCTGCTCCCAAAGGCAGGGAGCCCCTGAAGTCTCCTCCAGCCGTTTCTGGCAGGAGGCTCAGAGCCCAGATCTGTCCCAGGCAGGCAGGCAGCCTGTCTCCCTGCTAACGGTGCCGTGTCCATATGCTGCCGTCCCTTTGCCACAGCCTTTCCCGGCAGTCCCAGGGCTGGGATCTGCTCCCCTCCGAGCCCCCTCCGCATCCCAAAACAGCCTCTGCCCTTCACTTTGCGCAGGGATTTCGTGAACGTGCGTCGGATTGAGAGAAGAAGAGACAGGTACATTTCCTCAGGGATGTCGACCACGCACAGCCTGAAGCCCCCGCTCTCCAAATATGTCAGGTGAGAGGCAGATCCTGTTATCTGAGCTGCTCCCTGACACACGCGCCTCGCTTAAAGCTCAGGGCAAAGAGCCACTTAAATGAAAACCCTGCTGTCTTTCTGGCACCGCTTTCAGGAAACTAATCTATTTGTGGAACTGAACCTCGCTTCCCTTGTTCTTCTGCCTTTGTTCAAGAAACTCTCCGTGCTGCCGAGCGCTGCTCGGGCGTTTCCCAGCTCTCTGCTCCCTCTGCTCTGGGGAGTGGAGGTGCCGACCAGTAGGAGCACAAACCCCAACCCGCCCCGCATCCTGTTTATGTAACACTTAATTCCCAAACAGGGCCAGCTGCCACTTCTGAGGGGCAGTAAACAGCTGACCGTGCCTTTCCTTCAGCCTCTCGGATGCCTTTTGCTTCTCGTAAGCCGGCTGCTTACAGATTTTAGAGGCTGCAGGCGCCGAGAGGTGGTCCCGGGGGTGAGACGAGCTGCGTCAGGATGGACGGGCTCCCAGGGTGTCTCTGGCCTCTCCCCTTCCGAAGGGAAGGTTTCGCACGGCCGGTGCTGGATCTCGGCGGGGCTGCTCTCATCAAACAAGGACTCCTTGTTACTGCCTGCGCCTGTGCCTGGGGCCCAGCTGTGCCACTTCACGCGCTGACTTTGTTTTTCCTAATAATCTGGTTAAAGTAATTGACATTTTAACTCAGAGCCGTTATAGCTGCCTCAGTCTATTTAAGAGCCGGGGATCTTCAGGGCCTAGAAAAATCTTTTTAACGAATGCACGCAGCAAAAATAGCGTGTGTTCCTGAGCAGAGAAGGGAAATCTGTATCTGGGCTGTGTGTGTAAGCACGGCTCTCCTCACTCAGACGCTCAGATGGTGCGAGGAAGGATCTGGGGGCTGTAGTGACGAGGCTGTCTGCGCTCAGCCTGTCCTGACCGAGCTCGGTCTCCCCGAGTGCTCGGCTTCCCTGGGACCTGCTCGTTGGCTCCCGTTTCTGCCGGGCTGTGCCTCTGAAACCTCCCCGCGGTGCGGTGCCGGCGTCGGCAGGGCTGGCACGGTTCGGAGGCAGAGGCTGCTCCTCAGCCTGCAGCCCTGCAGCAGCCCTGGCACCGCCGCTGCCAAGGCACCTGTGGGAAACCTGCCTCGTGGTGTTTGCTCGGGAGCCTGCAGCCAAGCCGGAGCCCTTCCCGGGCACTCTGCACATCTGCTCCCACCCCGCGGGGCTCCCCCTCCTCGCCGCCAGGCCAGGGGGTGCCGCAGCAGGAGCCAGGGTCGGTGCCACGCACCCGGAGTGCCAGGGAGAGCAGCTCCTCAGCCTCCCCCAGCCTGACTCGGTGCTGCTGTCCTTGTTTCCCTGCAGGGGTGAGAACGGGCCGGGCGGATTCATCGTGCTGAAGTGCCCCAGCAACCCCAGGGTCTGCACTTTCATCTGGATTCTGAACACGGACCTGAAGGTAAAGCCAAACTCTTTGCTGACGGGCGAGCGCCGTGGCTGTGTTCCCTCCCCAGCAGGGACACCAGCACCTTCAGGAAGCCCCTTCAGCAGCCCCTGCACGCTGCGGGACGCCTGCTGGGGACCCTGCAGGGGCTGCTGTCCTGCTGCAAGCCTCTCCTGGGTGCAGCTTCGGGTGCCTCGCCAAGGGCTGCCCTAAAGGGACCTGAGTTTTGCAGGCAGAGGCTGTGCACCCTCTTTCCCCTTGAATTTCCCCCGGTGTAGGGCTGCGAAACCCTTCCTTACCCGTCCGAGCTCTCGGCTACGGGTTTCACCTCTCCGTGCGGGGCTGGGGGCGAGGTGATTTTATCCCTAGGGGACAGAAATATTTGGGCACATCAAGTGCTGGCTGCCTGCTGCTCCCCGGACCCCGCTGAAGGGCTGGAGCACTCTCTGCTGCGTGCCCTGCTCCCAAAACCTCGGCACAGACACAGACCCGGGGGGCTGTGCCCTAGGCCGTGCCCCAGCTCCGGAGCTCTTTTTGGGGAGCCCTCACTGGTGGCCCAGACAAAGGCAGCGTGCAGGGAGCCGGGCTGGGTGCATCAGGGGGGGGGAGCTGCCCTGTTTTCTTCCTCCGCTGCTGAATCGAGCCGAGGTTGACGTGGAAACAGCGCTGCAGCAGCGAGCACAAAGGCTCCATTCATCAGCGCTCTGCTGCAAAGCTGCGGCCCCCTCCCCTCCCACGGCCCTCCCTTCCCACCAAGCAGCTCAGGCGCCCTGCTCCTGCCGAAATGCTCTGCCAGGGCTCTGCAGAAGCTCTCCCCCTTTGGCAGCTCCTCGCCCGGGAAGCGACAGCGGGGACGAGCCCAGCGCCGCCTGCACCCCAACCCCGCTGCCCCCCGGTGCTGTTTGGCACGGGGCTGGGGCTGGAGGTGTTTTTCCATCATGGGTCTGGCTCCCTGTGCTGCTTCTTCCCCTCTGTAAGAGGCTGTTTTGGGGAAAAACAGCCCCGTTTGGTGAGCAATATGGGGCTGGGCAAGGAGAGAGCCGTTCCCAAGCCGGGGAGCCCTCGCCCACTGCCTGCCTGCTGCTGGAAGGGGCCGTGCTGGCTGAGTTCTTAATTCACGGCCCCTCGACTGCTTCCAAAACCTTCCTGGAGGGCTCTGCTGCTGCCCAGACCCCTCGGCCTGTGCTGCCTTGGTATTTCCTTTGGCCCCGGCGCAGTATTTATAGCTCATGGCTCATCCCTTCCTGCAGCGAAGGGCAAGGGTTGCGCACGTGTGTGCGTGTGTGTTTGGGGCAGGGCTGGGACCTCTCCTCCCAGCGGGGTCTGAAACGGGCCCTGAGCTCGCAGGGGGCTGCAGGGGGCTGCAGGAAGCCCCCCCGTGTGCACCACATCCCCGGGGCTCCTCCTGATCCCATCCCGTGCCCTGGGCAGGGGCCGTGCCCCCCCCTCTCCGTCCCTGCCAGCCCCAGCGGCGCTCCCAGCCCTGCTGCTGCTGCCTGCCCCCGCAGAGCCCGGCCTTGCTTTTTTTTTTATTATTATTTTTTTTGTGCATCTCACATCACAGAGCAGGGGCCGAGGCGGCTGAGGTTGAGTCGTGCCGGGGCTTTTTTAGACAGCTCAAACCTCATTTCTGTGCCTCCCCCGGAGAAAACTCCTCGAGAGCAGCAGCAGCTCCCCGCTGCGGCACCGGGGCAGGGAGCAAAACCCGGGCAGCCCCGAGCAGGAGCTCGGGGGTGAGGTGGGGTGGGGGGGGGATTTCACCTCCCGGGGGGGCTGTTTTGCCCGTGCTGCTGCTGTTCTCCCTGACGTGCTGTTCCTTTTCCTTTCCTCGCAGGGTCGCCTGCCCCGGTACCTCATCCACCAGAGCCTGGCGGCCACCATGTTCGAGTTTGCCTTCCACCTCCGCCAGCGGGTCAGCGAGCTGTCCGGCAAGCCCTGAGCACCACAACACAGCCTGGGGGGGGGAATTCGGGCAGGGGGGGCTGCCCCACACTGACCTTGTCAAGGGCTCGGCTCCTTCCCTGCCCAGCAGAGCCCTGAAACCCCCCCCAGGCATGTGCCAAACCCCTGCCCCCTCTCTCTGTGTGGCCAGGCTCGGCACTGCTCCGAGTCCAGCCTTGCCCACCCCCTCCCCACACAAGGGGTCTGGGGGCTCGTTGGGACCCCCCCAGGTTCCCCTCCTGGTACCCTGGGGTAAGGGGAAGGGAGGGGAAAGCTGCTGGGGGGGGTGAGGACATGTCTGTCCCCATCACTGTCCCAACACAGCCACCTCCCAGGCTGTGCCCTTTGCACACGGGGACAAAACACAGCCCCCCCCGGGGCCTTCACCCCTCGGGGGGGGGGGGGGGACACTATTGGGGACTTTTTGGCCCCCCCGGGGCTGTCCCTTAGTGCTGCCTCGCTTCTCTGGGGTCCCGCCTGAGCTCGTGTTTCCCCCCCCCTCATCCTGTAGCTCTGCAGGGAACGAATGGTTCTGAGATTTTTCATCCTTCCTGGGGAGGGGGGGGGGGATGGGGGGGGGGGATGCGGGGGCGAGCTCGGCTCCCTTCTACCTGTGCTGGGCTATAAAGGGAAGCTGCAACGAGCCGCCCGCACGCGGGGGCACGCGCCGGCAGCGCTGCGGCACGGGGGCGAGCGCCCACGGCAGCCCCCACGTGGGCAGAACCACGGGGGCTCTGCCCCCCTTCCTGCCCCCCCCCCCCACACACACAGCCCTCGCTCGGCACCGTCCTGGGGTCCCTGGGGTCTCGTGGCCCCTTCCCCAGTGCCTGGGGGGGGGGCTGGCAGCTGTGGAAATAAAGAGCCTTGCACTATTTGCAGCCCGCTGCCTTCCACGTGCCCTTTGTAACCCGAGCGAAGAAAAGCAGGGACCAGGGGGGTGGTGGGGTGGGGTAACAGGCCCAAGCTGCCCCCCCCCCAGGCTCAAAGGATCAACCCTGCGGCTGCTGGCTGGGGGGTCACCGTCCCCTGCTCTGCTCCAGGGGTTGGGGGCACTGCCCGGTGTCCCCCCAAGGCCTGGGCGGTGAGCTCAGCCCGCTGGCACCCTGCGAGCACCCATCTGTCCGCAGCCCCCATCTGTCGGCCCTACAAATAGCCCGCCGGGGGGGCCCCCGTGGCCAGCACCCCGCTGCCAGCTCGCAGGGGGGGGGGACACGCACGGGGATGGGACCTCAGCAGGCTCTTCGAGGGCAGCAATGGGGCCGGCACTCGCCATGGGATGGGTGCTATGGGGTGGGGTGGGGTGCTGGTGGGGTGGCACGGCCACGGTAATGGGCAGCAGCCCCCCTAAAAAGCCACTGCCACCCCTTGGGTCCCTCTTTTTTTTGCTGGTCCCTGGGGGCCGGTGCCAGCGCCGCAGCGGGCAGGGAAAGGCCAAGCGTGCCCTGGGCTAAAGCCAGGGGGGGCCTCACGGTGCCGGGGGGGGGGCTGTCCCCACGTGTCCCCACACCCCACGGGGACACAACCTGGGGCAGGGGCTGGCCCTAAAGAAGTGACCCCCGGGCGCACGGGGCTGAGCGTGGCTGGATGCACACGAGGTGACGCATGTGTCCCCAGTGCCACCCCCCTGGAGAGGTGGGGGGGGGGGCTCTTGGCACCCTCCTGTCCCCACTGGTGCCAGTGACACGTCCCAAAATAGCCTCCCGGGGGCCATATAAGCGGGGCTGGCAGGTTTGGGGCAGCAGAAGCCGGATCCGGGGCGCGTTGTCGTTGCCCCCCGGGGGTGTCGCGGGGATGTGGGGGCCCAGCACGGTGGTGCGCAGCGGGGGGCTGCTCTCGGGGGCCCGCCTGGGTTGTAGGGTGAAGGAGGAGGACGTGGGGCGCCGCGAGACCTTCAGCGCCGAGTGGCTGGACCTGGAGCTCAGCACCCGGCCCGAGGAGGGGTGAGCAGTGCACCACGAGCTGGGGGGGGGTCCAGGAGGGATGGGGGGGGGTCCCCATAGGGTTGCCAGGGGCTCTGAGGGTCTTTGGGGGAGGCTCTAGGGAGGTGTCCAAGGGTCCCCGTGGGACTCAGAGGGTGTTGGGGATTCCTGTGGGGAAGGGGGGGTCCGTGTGGGGTTGGGGGAGGCTGCGCGGCCACACGGGGATGTGGGGGGCTCCGGGGGTCCCTGTGGGGTGGGGGAGGCTGTTGGAGGGGGGGGGGCGTGTGGGACAGGGGGGGCTCTGGGTGCTGCAGTGTGGGTTGTAGGGTCCCGGGGGGGGGTTCCCATGGGGTCAGGCAGGACCTGGGGGCACAGAGGGGGGTCCCTATGGGGTTGGGCAGGACCTGGGGGCACGGGGGGGGGTCTCCAGGGGTCTCCATGGGGTTGGAGATGCCGTGGGTGAGGGGGGGGGGTCACCAAAATGCCCGCGGGGACTTGGGGCTCTCCACGCATCCCCATGCCCCTGGGTGGTCCCAAGGGGGCTCAGGATGGTCTGGGGGAGGTGGGGAGGGGAAGGGGAGCAAGAGGGGATGCCCATGGGGTGGGGGAGCGATGGGGACCCCCCCCAAAACGAGCGCCTCGTGCCCAGGTGGTGCCGGCGGGAGGCAGACGAGCGGCGCCGCGAGACGCTGGAGCAGCGCGGGGAGACGCGGGTGCTGGAGCAGCGCTCGCCCTGGGGCGTGCTGCGTTTTGGGGTCCTGGGGCAACCCCTGACCCAACACCTCCTGCCCTACGCCCGCACCCTCCCCCTGCCCCTTTTCGCCCCCCCGGACCTCCGCGGCGCCAAGGCCGGCGTCCCCCGTACCCTGTCCCGTTCCCTCTCCCACGAGGCCCAGAGGGGCTGAAGGCGACGGCGATGGCCGTGGGTGGGGGGCTCAGGGTTGAGGGTGGGGGGGTGACGGTGGCAGCGGCGGGGTCCTGAGGCTCTCTGTGCACTGCCGCGGCCCCCGGGGGGACGAGGAGGAAGAGGAGGAGGAGGGTGGGGGGACGTGGGGGTGGGCGCCCACCCCGCGGAGGGTGGCGGTGGCCGGTGGGGACGGGCGCGGGGGCGACTCGGTTTCCCTGGCAGGAGGAGGGGGTGTGAGGATGGGGAGCGCTGAGCCCCCCCCCCCAACCCCAACCCCAACCCCAACCCCAAGCCTTCAGAGGGGCTGGGGGGGGGGCGCGGTGGGGGATTTTTGTGTGGTTTTGTACCAATTTGACGTTCTTTGTACTGCAATAAAGTGTCCGGCCTGGGCCTGCAGCTCCAGCAGCAGTGGTTTTTTTGTTTTTATTTTGGGGGGGTGGGAGAATCCCAGGACCTGCCCCCCCCCACAGACCTATCTCAGCTCCCCCCCATCTGCCCTCCACCCCTGGACCCAAGAGAGGGACCCTTAAGGGGGAGGAAATTGGGGAAACTGAGGCACGGCCCATTGGAGGCTAGGGAGGATGGGGTGGGGGGGGGGCAGATCCCTGCTTATATAACTGCCCCCCCCCCCCCCCCCCTTTTGCCAGCCCAGCCCCTGGCAGGGTCCAGGATGACCTCGGTGCCAGTGCCCAGATTAGCTGTTCCCTCCCGGCTGGATCCCGCTGTCCCTGGGCCACCGCCAGCCCCTTCCCATCCCTGTCCCATCCCTGTCCCTGTCCCACATCCCCTTCCCGTCCCTGTCCCCATCCCCATCCCTTTCCTGTCCCCATCCCTCCCCTCCTGCTGCTGCCCCTGGGACTTCAGCGCCTTTCCCCCCTTTCCTCCCCCATCCCCATAAGCAGCTCCCATCCTTTCCCCAGTCCCAGAGTGCTGGATGCACTGGGAGCACTGGGAGCACTGGGAGCACTGGGAGCAGGATTGGTGGTGCTGGCTCCTGCCATGGGCTGGGCTCATCGGTAACGAGGGAGCACCCAGCCGGACCCCAGCCCCATTTCCAGCCCCGTCCCCATCCCAACCCCATCCCCATGGGGCAAGCCTGGAGCCACGCCAGCCCCCTTGGGTGCTTGGAGGGGGGGGGTGCCAGACCCCCACCATGATTCTGGGCCACCCCTCCTGGCTGGGAACCATCTCCAGAGGCTGCAGCAGGACTCCAGCCCCCAGCCTCCCCCCCCCACACCCCACCAAGCTCCGGGGGGGGCACAGCAGGGCCGGATCCTGCCCCGGGCGCTGGCGCTAACCTGGTTATCCGCGATGGACGGCCGCAATCAGCGCCGTGCCCGGCACAGCCATAACTCACCGCGTGTCCCCCCCCCTTGGCCTTATTGTGTCCCCCCCCCCCGCGCCACCACCTTACCGGGGCTATAAAACGGGTCCGGGCTCAGCAGCCCCCCCACAGCCCCCGCCATGAGCAGCTTGGCCGCCGTCCGGGAGGGCTACGAGCGCTTCGACCCCCGCGCCTACCTGCAGAATAATTACGTGCCCCCCCGCGCCGATTTCTCCTCCGAGGACTGCGTGGTGCCCTGGAAGCTGCGATGCTTGGCCGAGACCTTTGCCAGCGGTGAGGGGGTGCTGGGGGGGTACTGGGGGGGGCTCCCCAACCTTGGAGAGGAGTGGGGAAACTGAGGCACGGGTCCCACCACCCCACACCGCTCTCCCCTGGTTTTTTCCCCCGTGCCCGGCTCCCCCAGCCCCACGTCCCCAAATCCCTGACCCGCTGTGGGACCCCCCCCAGGTGAGATCCAGGGGCGCACGCTCATCGACGTGGGCTCGGGCCCCACCATCTACCAGCTGCTGAGCGCCTGCGACCACTTCGAGGAGATCGTGGCCACCGATTACCTGGCGGTGAACCGCGAGGAGCTGCAGCGCTGGGCGCGGGGGGAGCCCGGCACCTTCGACTGGAGCCCCTTCATCCAGCACGTCTGCAAGATCGAGGGGCGCGGGTAGGGCTGCGGGGGGCTGGGGGGAAGGGGGATGTGGGGGAACGCGGGGGGACGCGGGGGGACGCGGGGACCCCTCCCCAGGGTGGGTGGTCTGGGTTGGATCACGCTGCGTGTCCTCACTCTCCCCAAATGATGTGCCTGGGTCCCTGAAGGATCCCACCCAAATCCCCACTCCCTGAAGGATCCCAGCCCAAATCCCCACGGGATCCCCAGCCCCTTGGCCCCACAGGACCCCAGCCCCTTGTCCCTGTGGGATCCCAGCCCCTTTTCCCCGTGGATTGCGAGCTGATCCCCACTGGGATCACGTCCCCACACCCCAGAGCGCGATGTGCTGATCCCTGTAGGATCCCCTCCGCACATCCCCAGGGGATCCTGCCCCCCCCGTCCCTCCCGATGCTGGGCTGAGCCCCCCCAGGATCCCATCACCGTGGCCTTGCTGATGCCGGGCTGAGCCCTGCAGGACCCCGTCCCCATGCCCCATTAATGCTGGACTGAACCCAATGGGGTCCTGTTCCAGGTCCCCATTGATGCCAGGCTGAGCCCTGCAGGACCCCAGCCCCCCGCCCTATTAATGCTAGGCTAACCCTGCAGGACCCCTGTCCCAGTGTCCCCACTGATGCTAGGATGAACCCCACAGGACCCTGACCCTGTGTCCCCATCGACATCAGGCTGAACCCTGCAGGACCCCGACCCCCTGACCCCATTGACACTGGACTGACCCCCGCAGGACCCCATCCCCATGTCCCCATTAATGTTGGGCTGAACCCTTCAGGACCCTGTCCCCATATCCCCATCAACACCACGCCGACCCCCACAGAACCCATCCCCGCGTCCCCACCGACACCAACCCACCCCCTACAGACCCCATCCTCACCCCCACCCCCCTCTAACCCCAACCCCATCCCCATAGCGAGCCCTGGCAGGAGAAGGAACGCCGTCTGCGGGGTCGCCTGCGACGCATCCTACCCATCGACGTGCACCGCCCGGACCCTTTGGGGTCCCCCCTGCGCCCCCCGGCCGACGCGCTGCTCTCCGCCTTCTGCCTTGAGGCCGTCAGCCCCGACCGAGCCACCTTCGCCCGGGCTCTTGGGCACGTGGGGTCCCTGCTGCGCCCGGGGGCCACGCGGTGCTGCTGGGGGCCCTGGGCGAATCCTTTTACCTGGCGGGCGCCGCTCGGTTGCCCGTGGTGCCGCTGGCCGAGGACGACGTCCGCGGGGCGCTGGCGGGGCCGGCTTA